GGGGAGGCCAACCGGGTGCTGGAGGAGCACCTGCAGCCCCTCCACCAGCAGCTCCAGCAGACCCATGGGCACTTGCAGACCGCAAGGGCCGCAGTGGCTCAGGAGCATGCGGAGGAGCCCAGGTGAGTAGCATCTGCCTCTGCACCTATGTGGTTTCCTCTGGGGGTTCCAGGGGTTGGGGAATGAGTTTTGATGGATCTCAGCCATCATGGTGCTTCAGTGGTCTCCGCGGTGCAGATTAATCATGGTTTGGGGTGAAAAGCATCAGAAAAAAAGCCAGGACTATCAGCACCATGCGCGGAACGTGTCCCTGCAGGGCAGTGCCAGCAGAGATGGGGATGTCCTTCACCCAGAAGGACCCAACCAGGACCGGTTGTGGGTTTTGCTGTCCCGCTCCAGCCCATTGCTGTCTCCAGGGCTGGGGACACCCCTGGGGCAAGAATGGACACAGTGAGGAGGGTGCAATTGCTGTTTTGAACCCTGTGCTCTGTGTTTGCAGGGACAGAGCGGTGGCAGAGCTGCCTGGCAAGATGCCCCTGTCCCCACAGGTACTGCAGCTGGGTACGGAGGGATGGGATGGGATGGGGTGTCTGTGCTCCAGGGCCTTGTGCTGTTTGATTTGGGACTGCCAGGGAGCCCAAGAGCACCGGGTGCTTCTGTATCCCAGGCAGTGCCTCCCCTAAAAGCTTTCTCAAACTGGGTCCACACGGTGCCCTACAGATGCTCGGGAAGGGAGGGGGTAGCAGCACGTTAGTTCTGATGCCCCAAGATTTCGGGTGGGTGCGTCTGGATGCCTTCTGGAGAGCTCCACGCCGTTTCCCACGGAGATGCTTCCTCGCCAAGCGCTTTTCTCTCTTTTCTTCCCACCCTGTTTACTGCAGATGAGTCCAGAGTCCCACTCGGAGATGCGGATCAGTCTGGGGTCCCAGAGCACCGAGCCCAAAGCCAAGAGCACCCACAAAGTGTAAGGGGTCCTGGGCAATGGCTGCTGCTTCAGCTCATGCCCTCGACGTCTGCGAGCTGGTGCCAAGCACCCAAGTCCCCCACTCTCCCCAGGAAGAACGCAATATTTAGCCCTTTTAACGCCCCTTTCCCACCAACTCACCTCTCATCCCAGAGATCAGATCTCTTGCCCCAGCTCCTTGCATCCCTCCCTGGGCTTGGGCACTGGCCATATCTGGCCAAGAGTTGTCTTTTCATCTCTCATAACATGGATGTGGAGCCTGGGGAGAGGCACGCTCGCTTGCAGGGCAGGACATGGCCCCGGGTCTGGCTCCCTGGGTGCACATCCCCTTCCCCTGTCCCCATCGCTGCCTGTGGGAACCCCCTATGCACCCGGAGGGGAAATACAATTGGGTTTGGAGAGGGATGGGGGGAGGTGATGGAGGAGAGACACACACCCCCCCAGTACTGGCCTGGGTGGATGGGAGGGAGCTGCAGCTGACCCCCAACATCTTCTGCCCTTTCCAGGGTTTGGGAAATGCTGCCAGCAGAAACAAGCATCTGGGGAGCTGTGCCGAGAGTGAGCTCAGTGGAAGAGGACCCCTTCCCAGAATTTCTGAAAGAGGAACACTTTTCTGACCAAAGCTCTTTGCTAAGCGAGATGAATGATGCAATAGCGGCGCTGAGCCAACAGCCGAAGCCACAGGCACTGAGTGCACCCCCCACGCCGGCAGATGCTGCCCGTTACCCCCAGGACGATGCTGAGCCCCAAACAGGGCCAGAGGCAGCCACAGCCCATGGCACAACCCCCGGGGTCCTGCGGGAGACCCTCCCTGGCCACGTCGGTCATGAGCTGTTTGAAGGAGACCTGAAAGAAGGACCAGCCACAGCTGAGGTTCATTGTGAGACAGGCTGGTGCGTCTGCGGGAGCCGGGCACTGCAGGGCTCAGGAGCCGGGGGCTGAGCAGGGAGAGAGCCCGGAGGAGGCGTGGAAGATGTTATTCCTGCAAGGAAAGGGTGCTGGTGTGAAGGAGCTGGTGCTAAAGGCAGCTGAGCATCCACAAGGAGCACCGGGAGAGAGCATGGAGGCAGGAGAGCAGGCGCTGGTAGAGGTGGAAGGAGAAGGATGGATGCAGGAAAAAGCAGGCTGGGAAAAGGCACAGCTCCTGGGAGAAGCTGAGGAAGCGGCAGTAAACCAGGGAGAAAATCTGGAGGCAGGTCTGGGGCCACCAGAGGCTGGGGAGGCAGGTCTGGCAGTGGGATGGCAGCTTGGCCTGGATGAGCTTGGCCCGGCTGTGGCTCCAGGAGAGTTCGCACAGCCCCTGGGTGCAGGGCTGGTGGAAGAGGCTGACCTGCCATCGGGGCTCTCCGAGAAACTTGAAATAAAGCCTGGAGAGCGCCAGGAGCCAGAGCTGCTACCCTGGGGTGAGGCAGAACTGGGAGCAGCCCAGGGGGACGGTGTCCTCCCCGAGGTGGCAGTGGCTCCTGCCCCCGGGATGCTGGAGGAAGAGTGCATCGGTGCGGAGGTGCAGCCCTGGGGAGAGACCTTAGGTGCCAACGAGCCGCCAGCTCAGCGTGGAGGGAGCATCGGAGCTGGGGCCGAGGAAGGGGAGGTGGAGGTGCTGCAGCCCGGGGAGGCAGAGCCGCAGCCGTGGGGTGAGTCTGTGAGGGGGGGCGCAGGGTGGGGAGGGAGCGTGGGTGCAGGGGTGCTGCTGCCACCCACCAATGTGCGGGAAGGTGGAGAGGGAACAGATGTGCAACCACTGGAGACCCAGGGCAGTGATGCCACTGTGCAGCTGCTTGCAGAGGCAGCTCTGCAGTCCCTGCGCAGAGCCAGCTCCCCGGGGACAGAGCAGGGATGGGGGGTGGCTCCAGGTGTGCAACCACGGGAGGGGGAGGATGAACCAGAGTTAGGGCTGGGGGCAGAAATGGGTGCTACTGTGGTGCACAGTGAGGGTCCTTCCCCAGCCGAAACACCTGCAGGGAGCCTGCGTGGGCTGTTCCCAGTTAAGGCTCAGGCACTGGAACTGGTGGAGGCAGATGAGTTCTGGGTGGACATGCAGCTGCGTGGGGGTGCCAGCCCAGAAACCCTCATGGGAAGGGGCGAATGTTCAGCTGAACATCTCATGGAGGAGGCTAAGAATGGGGCACAAGGGCCGGGAGAGCACGGACTGGCACTGGAACCTGGGCTCAATCTACAGGGAGAGGGAGCTGGTGTAGGACTATGGGAGGAGGCTGGAAGCCTGGGTAGGGAGAAGGACCAGAGCACAGATGCAAGCTTGCAGCCCCATGCAGAGGTGGACAGACCCAAACTGATCCCAGGAGGGAGCACAGAGGGGGATCTGGAGCCCCTGAGTGAGGTCAGCTCCCTGGGGACCGAGCAGGGATTGAGCCTGGCTCCAGATGATCAAGCCCTGGATCAGGTCGATAACGCAGAGTTGGTGGACATGGAGGCAGAGGAGTCCTGGGTGCGCACGCAGGTGCACAGAGGTGGCAGCCCAGAAGCCCTCCAGGGAAGAGGGGAATGTTCAGCTGAACATCTCATGGAGGAAGCTGAGGATGAGGCACAAGGGCCGGGTGAGCATGGGCTGGCACTGGAGCCTGGGCTCGATCTGCAGGGAGAGGGGGCTGGTGCAGGCGTGTGGCCATGGGAGGAGGCTGGAAGCCTGGGTAGGGAGAAGGACCAGAGCACCGATGCAAGCTTGCAGCCCCATGCAGAGGTGGACAGACCCAAACTGACCCCAGGAGGGAGCACAGAGGGGGATCTGGAGCCCCTGAGTGAGGTCAGCTCCCTGGGGACCGAGCAGGGATTGAGCCTGGCTCCAGATGATCAAGCCCTGGATCAGGTTGATAACCCAGAGTTGGTGGACATGCAGCTGCCTGGGGGTGGCAGCCCAGAAACCCTCATGGGAAGGGGCGAATGTTCAGCCACACATCGTGGGGATGAGGCTGAGGATGAGGCACAAGGGCCGGGTGAGCAT